TAGGGAATAGCTGACTTTGATTGCCTAATGATGGTTGTTTTTTATTTTGCTTTTTTTGTTTGTTTATTTTTCGAGATAGGGTTTCTCTGTGGCTTTGAAGGCTTTCCTGGAACTAGCTCTTGTAGACCAGGCTGGTCTGGAACTCACTGAGATCCACCTGTCTCTGCTTCCTGAGTGCTGGGACTAAAGGTGTGCACCATTGCTGCCTGGCAAAAAACCCCCAAAGGTTAAAAATTTATTTTGTTTGTATGGATGTTCTGCTTATGTATCTATGTATATTTTTGTACCTGCCTATGGATGGTTGTGAGCCACCATGCGAGTGCTGGGAGCTAAATCCAGGTTGTCTGCAAGAATAGCAAGTGTTCTTAACTGCTGAGCCATCTTTCCAACCCCCTAACATTTTTATTTATTTTTATGTGTATGGGTGTTTTACCTGCATGCATGTCTGTGCATGCCTGGTGCCTGCAAAGACTGGAGATGTAGACAGCCGTGAGCTGCCATTCGCTGTGAATTGAACTCGGGTCCTTGAAGAGAAGTACTCTTAACTTCTAAGCCATCTGTTCAGCACCCTTCCTGACTTTTTGATGTGTAAGTGTGGATGACATGTTAGAGATTAAATTATTTAAACAGTAGGTTATGAATATACTTTAGAGAATTATGAGACAACCTGGGTGTTATATAATCCTAGCACTCAGGTTGGGGCAGGAATATCTAGGCTACCCTGGATTAGTATCAAAGAATAGCAAACAACGATAAAAAACCATGAAAATGTTTTGAATAATTAAAATAGAACGTAAAAATGAAGCTTTTGTGTTAAGTATAATAAATTGCGTCTGTACTTTGGGTTCTTAATAGTGGCATGGGTGTTTTTTGAGATAGTGGCCTGGAACTTTTGGGAATTATCATGCTGGCATTGACTTTGTGGTGCTTTCTTCTCCTGTCTCCTGAATTCTGGGAATTCTGGCTAGCCTGTTACTATGTTTGTTTTGTTCAATATTCCCTAATATTTAAGCTTCTCCATATTACATGAGACTGGACTGTGGATTTATTAAAGTAGCTAAACCTTAATTGATTTATAGGACCTATTGCTGAATATGGTGAAGCAGACCTTTAATCTCAGCACTGAGGAGGCAATGAGAGTTGAATCTTTGTGAGTTTGCCTTGTGTACAAAGCAAGTTCCAGCCAAGGCTAGGTAGTGAGACCCTGCCTCAGAGCAGCAACAGAAAAATAAGATCATTTTATACTAGAAGTGTTTCTAAAAGTCAAATACAAAAATATTTTTCAAGGCCAAAAATAGTGGCATTTGCCTGCTTAGGAGGCTGAGGCAGGGTGATGCCTAGTTAGAGAGGTTACATGTGAGACTGTCTCAGAACCAGTTAGCTGGGGCTGAAGAGGTGGTTCAGTGATTAAGAAAGATCACAGGCTGCTCTTCCGGGGGACTGGGGTTCTGGTCGTAGCACTTAACTTGGTGACTGACACCTGTCTGTAACTCCAGGTCCAGGGCATGTGGTGCTCCCTTCTACGTCTGTCTACATGAGGCACCATAGCCAAACATGAAGAACTACAATTGTGTATCTAAAATCTTGGGTTCTACTTTACCCTTTCCTCAATTCTCTGTTTCGAGACAGGGTCCCTCTAAAAGCCCTACATTTCCTTTAATTAAGAGTCGTCATGGAGCTGGAAAGATGGCTTAGGAGTTAAAAGCACTGACTAGTCTTCTAGATGTCCTGAATTCAATTCCCAGCAACCACATGGCAGCTCACAACCATTCCTAGTAGGATCTGATGCCCTCTTCTGACCTGCAGGCATATGTGCATACAGAACACTGTATACAAAATAAAGAAGTCTTTAAAAAAATGTAGGTTTCAGATACAGAAAATTAGATACTGAAATTTCTTAAAAAAAAAAAAAAAGAGTCCACTTGTGATTTCAGATTAATGGAGCAGATATATAAGAATGTTGGCACATGAGAGGTTGAGACAGGAGGGTCATAGAGGTCAGCCTGGGCTACACTGGGGGTACTTGTTTCAGAAGACCAAGCCATCCACTAATTCTGAAGGCAGGGTTTCACTGTGTAGACCAGGCTGGCTTTAAATTCACAGATCGACCTGCTTCTGCCTCAGTGATGAGTTTAAAAGCATACTTAACTCACTATATCCAGTAAATTTAGTTTCTTTAACCCTTTAAATTGTCTGTTTCGATATGTTGGTATCACATTTATCCACTGTTTATTGAATGTTGGGGTGGGTGTAGAGATGAGAGGGTAGTTGGCCAGAATTGGCTCTTCTACCACGTGGGGCTGGTGTTTAAATTATCAGGCTTGGCAGGAAGTGCCTTTGCCGACTGAGCCACCCCACTGGTCTAAAAGTGATCCTGGAAACATTTTCTACTGGGTGCATTGAACCTGAGTTCCCTGTGATTTACCCCCTGAACTTCATTTGTAGCCCAAGCAGGCTTTGCACGCATCTTGCTGCTTCATCCTGCTGAGCAGCTACAATTACAGCCCTGCTCTGCCAGCCTGGTTTAAAGGAACCTTTAAAAGTTGGACTCTGAAACACAGGATGAATATAGGAAGGCCAGGAGTCAGTGGGGGGCAGAGGAAGTGTTGTGAAATGCAGTGCCTGCCTAACTCATGTTTGAGTGCAGCACCATGGGCTCGGCCATCTAGAAGGGCAGCAGTGAGAGCCTTGTTAGAATAGGTTCTGTTTGGAGATCAGGTCTCATGGATGGAGTCCTGGCTGGCCTCACATGCTAAGGATGACTTTGAACATCTGATCCTCTTGTTTCTACCTCCCAGTTGCTGACATGGGTCATCCCACTTAGTTTCTCCAGGGTTTGTGTATGCTGGGCAAATGCTCTACTAGCTTCGGGTCACACAGCAGTCCCAGACCTGCAGCGCCTGCTGAGGAGCTGGAGTCAGACTTCTGTCACCAGGTCCAGCTTGCAGTAGAATTGGCACACAGCTCCATCTGAGAAAACCAAAAGCCAGAGTAGATGACAGAGTCCACCTGACTTCTGTCATTATTTCATAGACTGAGATGTTTGCCTGATTCCCAAGGAGGCTAGAAGAAAAAAGCCAGATTCCCTGTAACTGGAGTCAGATTGTTGTGAGCCACCAAATGGGTGCTGTGAATTTAACACAGTGGCCAGTGCTCTTGAACACTGAGCTGTCTCTTGAGCCCTGTGTTTTATGTTTTGAGTTGATTTTCTTGGTGCTCCCTGGGATTCATCCCCAGGCTGTGTCCATGGCAGGCAGGCAAGCACTCTAGTGCAGACCTGCATTCTCAGCCCTTCAGTCTGCGTGTGTTTTTGGTGTGCTCTGTATGCAGTACTCTGTAGTACTGAAGTGGTTCTGTGTATGATTCTTCTTAGGAAGAAAGCTCTCAGTAGCTTTTTGTTTTGTTTTGTTTTGTTTTGAGGCAAGGTCTCAGTTTTTGTGGCTTAAGGTGCCAGTTCTTTTTTTTTTTTTTTTTTTTTTTTTTTTTGTTTTTGTTTTTGTTTTTTGAGACAGTTTCTGTGTGGCTTTGGAGGCTGTCCTGGAACTAGCTCTTGTAGACCAGGCTGGGCACGAACTCACAGAGATCCACCTGCCTCTGCCTCCCGAGTGCTGGGATTAAAGGCGTGCGCCACCAACGCCTGGCTTAAGGTGCCAGTTCTTTCCTTTCAGGAAAAGACTGTAGTGGGTGGGACAGTTGCCAGCGTTTGGAATACTTGTTGTAACCCACTTTGTGCGGCTTCAGTCGGATCCAGATGACTTGCCCAGTTCTTACCTGAGAGGGGGAGAGTGGATTGAGAAACAGCAGATAAAGACAGAGACACATAATAGACTCTGGAGGGCAATCCAGTCAATACTGGATGCCCCAAGTTTATTCTTTACCATTCTTACATACCCCAACCAAAAAGGGGAACATGGCAAAAGACTTGTCAAGATACAAGGAAGAAACAGACCTCTTCCTTAATTCTCCAAACATTTGGTAACCATGCCTTTGAATAAATTTTTCAGTATCTGGGCTTTGAGGGTCAAGAGTAAACACACCTCAGAACAAGTCTTTTGTTACTTATCAAACATCCTGTGGCAGGCACACCTTAGACCATTAGGTCTTATGACTTTAACCTTGGGAAGAATAAGGATAGTTTTAAACTGTGACCTTAAAACAAGATGAAGCAGAGCCATCTTTATGGGCCCTGACAAATACTTAAGAAATCTCACTAAGGGAAGGTTAGGCTGGAACTTTCCAGACTTAGTCAGATTTGATTCCCTGAGGTTGAGAATGTGATAGGTCTGTTGTCCCTTACCTCTGTATGTTTACTTTAGAATTAAGATACCTGAAAGGACTTCTTAGTGGGAAGAACAGTACAAGAATATAGAATATAGAGCCGGGTGTTGGTGGCGCACGCTTTTAATCCCAGCACTTGGGGAGGCAGAGGCAGGTGGATCTGTGAGTTCAAGACCAGTCTGGTCTACAAGAGCTAGTTCCAGGACAGCCTCCAAAGCCACAGAGAAACCCTGTCTCCAAAAACAAAAAGAATATAGAATATAGAATATAGGAATGTGAGAATAGGTATCCATGAGTAGAAAAACTTGATAACAAAATTTTTATTTTTCTTTTAAAATTTGAATGTGACTTACAGTTTTTGACTCATTCTTTGATGTTAAAAGCGTATCTACTAGTTAATGTTTATTGATCATTTTCATATTTTCCTGGTATTGAGAATTAGCAAATTCTTTATAAAAACACAAGTAAACTTGTCTTAGTGTGCAGAGCTTGTCATCTTTTATGTATCTCCATCCTGAGGGTTCTGTTAGTTTCTTAAACTGAGAGAAGATGCAGCATGGAGAACGGGGCAAAACTCTTGCCGATTGGGAAACGAGAGTTAAGTGTATTTTGTACAAATGCCCAGGCAGTGACTTGATATCAGTTGAAGATTTTCATTGTATTTGAAATTCTGAATGGTGAGAGTCTTTATTGAGATGAGTGATGGTTGTTCTCCTGAACAGGTGTTCGTTTGCCTGTGGAAAGGCTGTAAGGTGTATAACACTCCGTCAACCAGTCAGAGTTGGCTGCAGCGGCACATGCTGACGCACAGTGGGGACAAACCTTTCAAGGTATGTATGTGCAGGCTTTCTAAAGCCACTGTGAGCTCATCTTTTAAAGGTAAGGCCTCACTCTGTAATCTTAGCTCATGTGATCCTGGAACTCCTTATGTAGGCCAAGCTGGCTTCAAAGTTGGCAACTCTGCTGCCTTGGCCTCTCCAGTTTTGGGATAACAGGCTGAGCCACCGTGCCTGGCTGATCTGTATAACGAGCATGCTTTGACCTTTCTAACATTTTTCAGTGGTGAGGTGTAAACATTTTCCCACAGACTTGTCCCCAGTGCCTTCTAAAAAATGAAAAAGATCCCTTTGTTTTAACTTTTTTTAAAGTTTTGAGGGGGGAGGTTTTGAGGCAGGATTTCTCTGTGGCTGTCCTAGAACTAGCTCTGGTAGAACAGGTTGGTCTGGAACTCACAGAGTTCCTCCTGTCTTTCTCTGTCTGTGATTAAAGGTTTGCACCACCACTTCCTGGCATGTTCTGGGAGATCTTTAAAAGTAAGTTTCTGGAAGAATTCTTTGGACTTCTAAAATATAAGAAAATACTTTGTTTGATGGCATGCATATGCCACAGAATTGAAAGGATCACTATAAAAAAGTACAATAATTATTAAAACCCTAGCCAAAGTGAATGTTGTGTAAGAAATTTCCTTTGAGTTTTGTCAGAATATAGTTGTTTGAGTTATTTTAAAAGAGAACCATGAACAAGTTGGAGGTACTAGAAATATTTGGAGCCAGAGGCCCATTCCCACAGGCCTGGGGAATTGGGAGAGGGTTGTGTGAGCCTAGGAATTTGAAGCTAGCCTTGGAAACATGCTTAGGCCCCCCCTCCCCCCCACTGCACTCTGCTGCTACTCTTCTATCTTCTTCCTGCATATATAATTAGGATTATTATTTTATTACTTTCTCAGAAATTCACCTTTTTAGAAAATGGAACAAGAGATAAATGCAGTCCCTTCCCTCTTCCTCCCTCTACTTTTGTGTACGGGCCTTGCTGTATATTCATTCCATTGACCTGAAGCTTCCAGTATAGTCCAGGCTGCTCTCAAAATGCCTGAGTGTCGATCACAGGCATGTGTCTGTCCCCATGCCTTGGCCTTACAGAAAATTGAATATGAACTATAGTGTGTGTTTCTGCTGAACTATTTTAAATACACTGTTCTAATTTACACTGTAACAAGCTTATCCTATTAATAGCTTACATTATATGATTATATGAATATATGTCTCTTAGTTTTGGCTGGGATATGTTTACTTACTTATTAGTGGCATATTTTTTTTTTTTTTTTTTAAAGCTGTCTTGTGTAACTGGCTGGCTTGAAACTTGCTTTGTAGACCAAGCTGACCTTGAACTCACAAGAGATCTGATTGCCTCTGCCTCCCAAGGGCTGGAATTAAAGGCATGTGCCTCCATGCCCAACTCCCACTGGAGATAGGCAAGGCATCTGTTTTTAAAGGTGTTAGAGGAGTGTGTTACAGAGTATAACTTGAAGTTTTTGTGTGTTACAGAAATCTGTATTTTCACTAGTACAATACATTGTCTATATTGATGGGGTTCATCTTGATAATTACACATATGTGTCCAGCATGTACTCATCAAATCAAGCTCCCTATTTTCTGGTTTCTCCTTAGGGATCATGTAAATCAGGAAAACAGTGCTATCTAGATAGTGAACATTCCAGGCAATGTGAAGAAAGATTATTAAGGAAAAACAGATTTTCCTCTTCAGGAAATTGGCCTTTAAAAATATTTATTGTTAATACTTTGTGTTTTATGAGAGTCTCCATGTAGACCAGGTTGGCCATTCAGAGATGTGCCTGCCCCTGCCTCCTCACCATTCCCCCTGCCTCCTCACCATTCCCCCTGCCTCCTCACCATTCCCCCTGCCTCCTCACCATTCCCCCTGCCTCCTTGTGGGTATGTGGGTGTCTGGAATCAGTGCAGAGTGAAGTTGCCCTTGGAGACCAAGAGGAGTCGCATTTCCTGAGAAGCTGTAGCTCCAGGCGGTCACAAACTGCCTAGTACAGATTGTTGAGAGCCGGATTCCAGTCTTGACCACTAAAGTCTTTTTGTTCCCTTTCTGCTGTGTTTGTCCCTTGTCATAGGTCACTCCTATCTGCTATTTGCTATCTTGCCTTAGTTGTGGGAGCCCCTCAGCTCTGCTTTTTCTTTGATCCACTAAGTTATTGATAAGATTAATTGAAATTGTCTGAAGCAGCTGATTTTTCTTTGTATAAAATTGCTGTGTGAGGTTCCACAGAAAGGTTAAAGTACAGTGTTTGTCTGTCTATCCCTGTCCATGCACTTGGTTTTCTTTGCTACAAAATGTATTAGTATTGCCAGCATTCTGATTTTGGCTAAAAAGTTTGAATAATCTTACCGCATTGTAGCTTGACATTTTGATCTTTCCAGAGATAGGACCCCATGGCCTTGTGCACATGAGGCAAGAGCTCTGCTTCAGAGCTCTGGCTGTGTTTTAATTTCTTATGTCTCCTGTGAGTGATGCTGCTGAGTATTTTCAAGTGTTCTGTCTCTGTCCTGTTTAAGTCTTTGGCCATTTAAAAGTTTTGTTGACTTTTACTAGATGGTTTGTTAGTGATGAGTAATGTTCTTGAGTCACCTGCAGTGGCTCACTTCTGTGCCTCATCAAATTGAAACTGAGAACAAGAAGCTCACCCTGAGATTATTGTTGAAATGGGGTCTTGCTGTGCACCCTGGAACTACATAAACTCAGGCTGTCCTCAGATTCAGAGAGCTGCTCCTCCTCCTTCCTCAAGTGCTAGGATTAAAAGCATGTGCCACTGTACCTCCCTAAAGCTCTTGTTTGTTGTTGTTGTTATTATTATTATTGTTGTCTGTGTGAGTAGGTTCATACGTATGCCTATGGTTTCCTGTGGAGGCCAGAAGAGGACATTGGATCTCTTGAAGCTGTTCAGTGTGGGTGCTGGAATTTGAACTCCAGTCAGTTGCAAGAGCAGCCAGTGATCTTACCAATGAGACCTCTCTCCAGACAGGAAAATTTAAAAATTTTATGCATATATAAGCATGTCTGTGTGTCTGTGCTGGGGCATATGTGGAGGATAGAGTTCATTATCATTTTCCTGATTGCCAGTTTTGTTTTGTGTTTTAAACTTTTTGGTGTTTTTACTTTTATAGCTTTGTGTACATCTTAGATATTAACCTGCTGCACTGAAGCTCTTTGATTTTCTGTAATCCTTGGTCTTATTTCCTGTGTTAATCTGAGTGTTATTCAGAAAAAATACCTATGCCTATATCATTTATGTGTGTGTGAGGGACATATATGTTCATATCTAGGTCAGAGGCTGGCAGTGAGTGTTTTCCTCAGTTGCTTTTGATCCCTACTTCTTTCTTCCTTGAGATAGTGTCACAGCTCAGTTGTGGCTCACAGCTCTGTAGTTGCTGGTGGCCTTGAATGCCTGATCCTGCTTCTCTTTAGAAGTGAGAAGCTGGGGGATGAACCAAGGCCTTGAGCATGCAGTGTAACCAACCTCTCTGCTTACCCTAGTCTCCATCCACCCATGGCCTCTCATTGAGCCCCATCTTGCCAATTTGGCTAATCTGCCCCATGAGCTCTAGGAATCCATCTGCCTATGTATCCTCATGTCAGGATTATAGATGTCTGCTTCTGTGCCTGATGTGGATGGGTGTGACAGGGGACAAACCCTGTGTCATCAGATTTGACCAACTGACCTATTTTTTCCAACTCCCATGCTTATTTTGAAGTGTTTTCTATTAGCAGCTTGAATCTCAGGTGTAAATGAAGGTCTTTGAAAATTTGCATTGGTTTTTTTTTTTGCAAGGGGGGAGACATCTTGTCTGATTTCAACTGAATATACTTTGCTAAAATTATGTGTTGAATAGGCTAATTTTTTGTTTTTATAATTTATTTATATTTTATCTGTATTGGTGTTTTGTCAGCATGTATGTCTGAGGGTGTCAGATTCCTGGAACTGGAGTTACAGATAGTTGTGAGTGCTGGGAATTTCTTAATCCTGAGCACTGGCTGCTCTCTCTAGCTTCAGGCTATCTTTTGTTAATTGTGTTTTTTTGACATCTTTAAAAATTCAAATTTACTGACTCATTGCTTTTAACACAAAGTTACTTGAGGATTATTCCATTGATAAGATTGTTTTACAGGTTCCCCCCCCACCCCCCCAACCCCCAAAAATAGGGTTTCTCTGTGTATCCCTGGCTGTCCTTAAACTAGCTTTGTAGACCAAGCTGGCCTCAAAGATCCATTCTCCCTTCTCTGCCTCCCAAATGCTGGGATTAAAGGCATGCACCACCACCTCCAGGCTAGTTTTGTTTTCTTTTTGCAGCGTTGAGGCTGGAACTCAAGGCTCTTGTGCTTGTGTCTGTCACTGACCTGCACCCCAGCCTGTTGCATGAATTTAGCTCTGCTGTTGGAGTTTCTACATTCTCTGTGTTTTGATGAGTTTGTAGATACCCTTTCTGGGCAGGAAATTGGTTTTGTTTGTCCCTGTTCTTGTACCTTGTGTGACAGTGGACACTAGGAAGTGTTTGCACTGATATCCTGAGTCATTCTTCCTTCACACTCACTGAGCACTCATAAAGGAGTGTAGAGTCTTAATAATAATGCCAGGTACCACTTTTATGATGCTGACTAGCACCATATAAGTAGCTTGTTGAATGTTTGGGCTGTCCTTAATTTTATGAAACTCTAAGCACACAGCTGTGGATTTCTCCTACTTTATGCAGACATATCTGTGACTCACAAGGTTTTCTGGGCTTAAAATATGTATAAGGGTGTCCATATTTCCAAGATATATTGAAAGTGTGAATTGGGTGTGTACACACAGTGAAGGTGTGATGGCAGACCCAAGTGAGCATACGTCTTGGTACTTTGAAAAGGAGATAGCAGATTGTGCTGAACTTTTTCCAAAGTTAGGATTGATAGTGTCTTGGATAGAAGAGCCTGGAGGCATGTGTGTGGTGGTATTTTGGATGTCTAGTGCTGAACTTCATTAATTACATATTTGTAGTTTGTTTTCCAAGTCAGAAACTAAGTAGATTGATCTGTGAGAATGTTCTCTAATGGAATATAACAAATACATAAAGCTTTTCAAACTCTACTTTTAAATTTCTTCCTACTTGTTATAAAACGGTCTAGAAAAGTAGGGAGGTATCTGAAGATCCTCCTTCCTCTGTCTTCCAAGCGTTGGGATTAAAGGCATGTGCCACCGACACCCAGCTGGCTAGTTTATAGTTTTTGACGGTGTTGCATGGCTTTAATCCTGGCACTCTGAGGTGGGGAAGAGGCAGGAGGATTCTGAATTTGAGGTCATCCTGGCCTAATAGTAAGTTCCAGGCCATCTAGGGCTTCATAAGGAGACACTTTTTTAATATAAACAAATACTATCTAGGAATTGGAGTAGCCATTAAGGAGTCAGTGTCCTTCCTGTCTTGATAAGCATGGTTTATTCACACCATCTCCTAGGAAGTCGACCCTGTAGGTTTTGTCTTGATGCCAGTGGAGAGGCAGTAAAAACATGTTTTGGAAACAGCCATAGCACTGAGAAGTGGTGTACTTGTTGGAAAGCTTGTTTGTTTTTAAAGTGAGCTTGTAAAAGAAACGCTTCCTGTGTCTTTTCTAGGACCAGTGTTGTTGTGCAGTTCACTGCAGGAAAACGTCCTTGGCCTGAAGGTGTGCTCAGACCTCACGCGTAACCCTGACAGCCCTTCTTTTTTTCTTTCTAGTGTGTAGTTGGTGGCTGCAATGCCAGCTTTGCTTCTCAGGGAGGGCTAGCTCGCCACGTACCCACACACTTCAGTCAGCAGAACTCCTCAAAAGTTTCTAGCCAGCCAAAGGCCAAAGAAGAATCTCCTTCTAAAGCTGGGATGAACAAGAGGAGGAAACTAAAGAACAAAAGACGGCGCTCATTACGTAAGTGTTCACTTAGAGCCTCCATGGAGAAAAAGGGCTGTAGGCAAGTCTGGTGTAACTGGTATTGAGTTTGGCTTGTTGATATCTATGAGAAGTAACATATGCCTGCCTGTCATTGTGAGAGTCTAGTGAGAAGTGTTTGCAGAAGCGAAAGGAGCACTAAGTGTTTGTGATCACAGAATATAAACTAAAGATATTTAGAGAATTGGATACTAGGAGTACTTTGATTTGTTACAAGTTAGGAAAGTTTAAAACATGGCAATGTTTGTTTCTGCAAATACTTGAGAAAACTGTGAGCATGTCAAAAGTAAAAAACAGAAGTAAGCCATCAATGAAGTGTAGAATATATGTGAAATGTGTGTTTGCAACATGAACATAGGAAGATGATGTTCATGATTACTGGATTATAAAATACTCCTTTGATATTTAGGGTTAGAATGATTAGATGGCATACAGTGCTGAGGGTAAGAATTAACCTTGAAACATGGAGACTGTCGGGCCACTACATCTGCAATGAAGAGAAGTGAATGGGGGATTGGGTGAGGGAGGGGGTGAGGGAGGGAGGGATGACGGAACCCTGTTGTGCAGGTAGTCAGTCCCGCAGATGACATGGTGAGCAGACAGGTTCTCCTCACACTTGGTTGACTGGGAAGAGGAAAAAGGCAGATGCAGGTCTCAAGTCATGTAACTGGCCTCTAAAACCCCGAAACATTTCTGTTAGTCAAAGACACAGTGAACAAAATGAATTGATCACAAAGGAAAAAAGTTTCATTCCTACTAAATTTACTAGAAGTATCTTTTCATGCTGTCTTAACTAGTTGAGTTCTAAACACTTTGGCCATGAATAACTTTCGAGAATTTATTTCCACTTAAAGTTTCACAGCACAGCCTATCTCTGAGGGAAGTTAGGCCAGTAACCAGAGGCAGGAATTTGATGGTGTAAGTTTGATCCCTGGAGCCCACATGGTGGAAGAAGAGAATTCATTAGTCATCTCTCTGAGCTCCATAGGTGGGCCAAGGCACTGACATGCACCTCCCTCCGCCACGAATGTAAAACAGAAAAAAGAGAACTGCTTAATATCGCACTGGAAACTCAGGGGAGCTTGCCCCTCATTTCACAGTGTCGTCATTTAAATCTATTCACTGTTCCCGTTACTTAGCAATACTTACACAATTGGCTTCTCTTTTTTAGACAAAGTCTCACTGTAAGGAGGCAGGCTTGGAATTCACAGAGATCCACAGTGCTGGGATTATAGGTGTGTGCCACCAATCCAGGCCCCCTTTTTTGCTTTTTTTTTTTTTTTTTTTCTCAAGGCATTCTCAGCCTAGCCCAGGCTGGTCTCAAACCCTTGATCTCCTGATTCCACTTCCTACCTGCTCAGAATTGTTAGAAAGTGAAGGTGGGCTCGGTTCAGCACCCAACCGGCATACATGCTGCTTGAGGAGATGCTGCTCTGACTGCGGTTTCTGTTCAGGCAGCTGCTGAGGAGGGCGAGTGCTAGTGACTGGAATGGACGGGAGCAAGCACTTCTTACTGTTGGGGTCTGGTTGGCTGGTTTGTTTGTGGAGAATGAATGTATGTTGCTCTTGAAACTTTAAAACAAGTAAAACCTTTTACTTTTGGGGATCGTGGTTGAGACAGGGCTGTGGTTTGAATTCTGTTTTTCCTCTAAAACCCTTACTCGGGTATGTATTTCATCACCGTCATTTCAATTCATTCATCAGAGGTTTTAAGTAGAACTACAGCCTAACTTTCAGTCAAGGTTGGGTTAGAAACCAGGGTTGTCTTTACTTCAGCCCCCACAATGCTTAGACAGTGCTAGGAGACTACCCCCTCTGGGTGTTTGAGATTGGATCTTGCTTCCTTCCCTGGGCTGGCCCTGAGCTGCTGAACCTGATCTAACTGTGATTTTATTTTGGTACAATAAAGAAGAGATTGTTGTGAGTTTGAGGCCAGCCTGGACCATAGAAGGGATTTCAGGCCAGTTTGGGCCATATAGTGAGACCATCTCAGAAATCAGAGAAACTAATTACCAAAAGAAAGGAGCAGTCTAATAAAGGTTAAGCCATGTGCACAGTTATACAGTTAAGAATTGATTGAAACTTTGAATTTACTGTTACTTAGAAATGTGTTGATGGGGTAGAGTACTTTCTTACACGTAGCAGGCCCTGGCTTCGATCCTTAAGATTTTAGTGACATATCTGGCTGAGGTGAAAGGATTATTCGAGCCCTCCAGCGTTCAAGACTCGACTGGCAACATAGGTGCCATATCAAAATCTTTTTTTAAATTTTTTTTTCAAGACAGGGTTTCTCTGTGGCTTTGGAGGTTGTCCTAGAACTTGCTTTTGTAGACCAGGCTGGTCTCAAACTCACAAAGATCCTCTTGCCTCTGCCTCCCGAGTGCTGGGACTAAAGGCGTGCGCCATGCTATCTCAAATCCTTATGTGCAGTTTTATGTTCTTACTTAGGAAATTTTTTGTATTCAAGAAAACACTGGTTGAAAGCTTCGAAATAATATGGTCTCTTTTCTCAAGTTTGAGAAGATTTTTGATAGCATATAAAAATGGGATGTTCATGAAGTCACATAATAGGTTTGAAACCTCCTTGTTGCACAGGTAGAGATGGTTATTGCTGAACATCCAAGAGGTTTAGAGGATTTTTTTTATGAAAAAATAAAGCGGCTGGAATGTGGAATGGTGGAGTGTGAGGTTGTTGTGTTTATTGATAATTGGAATTTTGCCTGTTCTGACCTTATCAGAGCTCTACCTCAAACACAAAGACATGGAAGTAGGCACTGGGCAGGCTTGCTGATTCCTCCGATTAAAGCTGCATTCTCCTGGGCTTGGAAAATACCTTAGAATTTAGCAGAATGTTGACTTGTTTTGTTATTGTTGTTGTTTTCTCTAAACTGTCTCTAACTTGGTTTTGTTTTGTTTTTGTGTTGACTTTAGCACGACCACATGATTTCTTCGATGCACAAACACTGGATGCCATAAGACATCGAGCCATATGCTTTAACCTCTCGGCTCACATAGAGAGTTTAGGGAAGGGACACAGTGTTGTTTTTCATAGTACTGTAAGTATTCTGTTTTTCTTTCAAATTATATAGATTTGGGGGGGGGAGTAAAAGTTGGTTTTCATGATTATATTTATAAATTGCTCAAAATTTAGGAAATTTTGTTACAGTCACAAAATGTATTGGATGTGGTGGTACACACCTGTGATTCTGACACTGTGTAGGCTAAACCAGAAGGATTGTAGGTTGAAGGCCTGCCTGGGTTACAGAGTAAGTATCAGGCCAGCCCAGGCAGCAGAGTTAGTCAAAATGAAGAATAGGGATGTAGCTCAGTAATAGAACACTTTCCTAGCATGTATAAGGTCCTAGTACTAAAAGCCAAAGCCAGGTGGGGCTGGGGGCGGGGCTGGTGTGGGGTGTAATGGAGGCCTACAGATCATGAGGCAGGAAGAGATGTTAAAATGTGCTTTGTTTACAGGTATAACCCCTGTTTTCTAGAATTGTGGTGGCCAGCACACTGTACAGAGTCTAGCACACTGTACAGAGTCCAGCACACTGTACAGAGTCACCATTTCTTGAGGCTAGGTTTTCAACCCAGAACAAGCAGAATGCCATTTTGGAAAAAGCAAAGCTGTAAGATGAGTTTAGTTTGTGGTTAGCTAGGAACTAATTTTATTGTCTGTGTGTGTGTGTGCTATGCACCACGTGTGTGTGTCTAGTGTCTGAGAAGGTCAGATGTCCTGAAATTGGATTTACAAACAGTTGTGAGCTCCCACAATGTTGCTGGTATCTGAACTCTGGTTTCCTTTAAGGGCAGCAAATACTCTTAACCTCTGAGCCAGTAGCCAAGGAGAATCTCTAGTCCCCTTCCAGTGGTTTTTAAATTGGTATAGTTTTGCAAAGGTCTCTAGATAAGACCTGGCCTTTTGAATTCTTGAAAAAAAAAATGTGTAATTTTGGCTTTTAAAATTATTGGTGCTGGAGAGATGGCTCAGTAGTTGAGAATGCTTGCTGCTCTTGTGGAGGACCTGGCACTGTGTCAAGTGGCTCACAGCCATATGTGACTCCCAATTCCATGGGCGACAACACCCTCCTGTGGTTTGCAGGTATTTTCACCCCCCCTCGCTCGCTCACTCGCTCATACACAGAGACATAAAAATCTTGATTGTGCAGAGTCATGATGTATGTGTGTGAGTGCTTTGAGCTCGGTTGTTTTCCTCCATTCTTGTACGGTTTCTAGAGATTGTGTTCCGATCTCCAGGCTTATGCAGCGAGTGTCTTTGCCAATTACCAGTTGGGATTGATCATAGATTGACATCTTTCTTTATCTTATAATGAGATTTCTTGCAGTCAGTTTTTGGGGTATGAACATCATAGCTAGAGAGGTTAAGAGAAGTTAAGGAAAACACCTTGAGCTGTTTATAATATTCCAGGTTTGACTGTGCTTGAGAAAACCACAGTTGCAGATAAGTGAGAGGCAAGTGGGAAAGTCAGTAAAGCTTGAGTAGTCACCAAGTGCTGTAACTAGTGATGAGACCATTGCCAGAACATGCTCCTGTCTCCTTTGTAGTTCCCACGCTTCTTTGCCCATCCTGTGGAACCTACTGGTTTCTCTCTGTAGCCCTGACTATCCTGGGACTTGTCTGTAGACCAGGCTGTCCTCACTCACAGATCTGCTTGCTTCTGCCTCCCCAGTGTGCCACCACTGCTGGACTTAATTTGTGTGCATGCGTGCGTGCGTAACTGGTTTCTGTGCTGACAGGATTGTGAGGGAGAAAAGGAACCTGGGGGCAGTAAGATGGTTCGCTAAAGGTGTTTGCCACCAAGCTTGCAAACCTGAGTTGAATCCCTACTTGGTAAAAGCAGAGAATGGAGTTTACTAACTTCCCTGACCCCCATGTGTGTGCTGTGACATGAGCACCTACACACACCTCTCTTTCATTCCACACAAATAAATGTAAGTTAAAGAATAGCAATGCACATTTTGTCTTGCAGTGAAAAAGTGTTTTGATAACACACTGACAAGAAGCTTAGACCTGTGTCAAGCTTGAAAGAAAAGGTGATTTCAAGCTTGATTAAGCCTCAGCTATGTCCAACTCCAGTGCTGGCAAGTGAGACAGGAAGACCCTGGAGCTCACAGACTAGCCAGTGAATTAGTTCCAGGCTAAGTTAAAAAAAAATACGGCGCAAAAAAACCCAACAAAACAAAACCAACAACAAAAAACTAAAAGTGGAAAGATGGCTAAGTGAATGAGAGCTCTTGCTGCTGGGCCTAACAAGCCGAGTTGGACCCCTGGGACCTACATGTTGTACACTGAACTGTCGTTTGTATGTGCAAACATGGGCAAAAAAAAAAAAAAAAATCATTAAACCTGGCCTAAAAAAATTATTTTAGAATAATATAGTAAGCAATTAGGAAGAAACTTCATATTTAGAGAGAGAGAGAGAGAAAGAGAGAGAGAGAGAGAGAGAGAGTGTGTGTTTGAACGCATCCATTGCCCCCCCCCCCTTTTTTTTTTGGACACCAGTGTATGTTAGTACGTTCAACCTTTGAAAGTTTGGGACATAGTCTACACAGTCTGGTTTCAAACTCTAGACCTCAGCGTCCTTCTAAAACAAACATACACACACTAGACTTAGTGAAACACGTATTAAATCCTGTATTAGGGAGACAGAGGCAAGTGAATCTCTGGAGCTCTAGATCAGCCGATGAGATAGTACCTTAAAATGTTTCTTAAACATCTACTTTAAGCAGAAATGCTTAAATACAAATTGCAAATATAAGTTTCCTTGTTAGTAACTGTTATAGGAAATAACCTCAGTGTTTAGAATTTAGACTGCTTACATGTGCTAATGCATGTCTTAATTGAAGTTTTCTCCAGAAGAGGTCACTAGATCCCCAGTGCCCAGTTGGGTTACTGTGCTCGCTTGGCTACATTGTTTTCTCATTGTAGGCTTCTGCTTTATTGCCTCCAAATCTGCTTCTGAGTTTTCCCATTAATTGACAAGTCGAAAATTAAGGCATTTATTCAACTGCAAGCTTTTACATAATGGAGGAATTAGCTTGTTTTTGTTTAAAGTTCTGTTTTTAGTTGTAATATATTTTCGGGGTAGCATAGTATTTATTTGGGTATTTGTGACGTGAATTTAGTACATGCTATAGAGATTGACAAACACACTAACCACCAATGTGAGAGTGGACGATGGAGAGCTGTCCAACACCAGGAGTCACTTGGCTCTCAGTCTTGCTAGCATGACAGTGGTTTGATACACTGTCTAGATAGATAGGTAAGTTAATTAGTGGTAGCCTAAAGATGAATTGGCCCACTAAGTACAGCAGTAAAAACCCAGGCACAGATGTCTCCTTGTAAAGTACATCTTGTTCTTTGCAGCAGTTTTGGATCTCCAGAAGCCCAGGCTGTTAAGGAGCTAACCATGTAGCCAAGGATAGCCTTGAACTCCTTGGCCCTCCTGCCTGGGATCATAGGTGTGCACCACCAAGTCTGGTTCCGGGCTTTACTTCTTGTTTCCTTTGTTCTTTGTTCTATCCATCCACCCATGTAGATATCAGAAGACACTTGGGAGTTGCTTCTCTTTCTCCCGTGTAGATCAAGGGTAAAATTCAGCCTTGTGGAAAGTGCTTTTAACTGCTGACCCATCATGACAGCCATTCGTTGCTTTAACATTTGTTTGGAGCCTTTAAAAAATTATTTATTTTTAAATTATGAGTATATGTTTCAGTATGTTCACATAAGTGCAGACCCTGTGGTGATTTCAGTATTATGGGAAGAGGTTGGAGTGTGCAAAGCAGAAATGACACGGATTTTGTAGTGGCAGTGCCTTTCCCGTGTAGGGCATGGCCACTTCAAGTTCTTCTTAATAGTATAGAAAAATGGTATTTTATCATTTTTTTATCATTTCTTTTTGCAATGTTACTAGGTAATAGCTAAGAGAAAAGAGGAATCTGGAAAGATAAAACTTTTGCTTCATTGGATGCCTGAAGACATGTAAGTATTTGAAACACGTAAGAAATTTTATTTTGCCAGGTAGTAGTGGCGCATACCTTTAATCTCAGCCTTTAGGAAGCACAGGCAGGGTATCTCTGAGTTTGAGGCCAGCCTGCTCTACATGCTCTTAAAACTCCAGACAACCTCGTTTGGTGCACAGACATACACGTAGACAGATAGAACAGAACACTTACAAAATAAAAACAGATCTTTTAAAAAATGTCAGATTTAAGCCTGGCGTTGTTGGCACACTCAGGAGGCAGAGGCAGGTGGATCTCTGTGAGTTCAAAGCTAGCCTGGTCTACCAAGTGAGTTCCAGGACGGGCTCCAAAGCAATACAGAGAAACCCTGTCTCGAAAAAGAAAACAAACAAACAAAAGTCAAATTTAAATGCCTTTACAAATCCTATTATAGAAATTGAACAATTCAGATATCAAAGTACTTTGAATGTTTTGTAGGATTGAATATCTTCAAATTTGGAATTTGGTCACATTACATGCATTTTATTTTCTTTCATTTCATGTGGGCTCAGTCTCAAGAGAGGCCTCTCCTTGGTACTCTTGGTATTTGCTGTTCTGCTGAGCTCATGTATTGATGGAGTTTTCCTTTGTTAGTGAAGAAACAGTGAGATTTTCATCAAGTTCATTTTGTTAGATAGAAACCAGGCTGTACAAATTCCTAGTCTACCCTACACCCCAAATGCTGTCCCTGTCAGAGCAGCAGGAAAGGCTGGGGAGCTCAAACACCAGAATGATAAGTCTAGGATAACTGCAAATGACTGGCTTTTCTTTTCTTTCATTCATAGTCTGCCAGATGTGTGGGTGAACGAAAGTGAACGACACCAGTTAAAAACTAAAGTAGTTCATTTATCAAAGCTACCCAAAGACACTGCCTTGCTGTTGGACCCAAACATTTACAGGTAATTTACTCCCTGACAGTATGCTTTCCATTCTGAATTGCCATCTTAAAGTTTTCTAAATTTTGGGTAAGTTGGTATTTATTTTTGAGTACATATTGACTGCTGTTTATCCAAAATGCTGGGTTTTGTTTTGTTTCTGCCCAGGCATTACTAGTTGAATCCTTCAGCAGAATGCTCAAAATCATGTTGGTGATTCTACCTTCACTCAGCTTGTGCTGGATTTCTCTGTCCAGTAGACTTTGTAGTTTTTTGTTTTTTGTTTTTTGTTTTTTTTTTTTCAAGAGTGAAGGGTTTGTGGGACAACAGGGTGTTATGTAGTTCAAGCTACTCAAACTTGCTATATAGTCCTTGCTGCCTCACCACCCACACTATCGTTCTGTGCCTTCAAAAGTGTGGCTTTGATGTATAATGTGAGGTTCTTTGTCCCGGCTGGTCCTGTGGCCCTTGATCCCCAAATAAACACACAGACATCATATTGATTATAAAACTGTTGGCCGGGCTTCTTATTGGTCTTGATTTAACCCATTGCCATTCATCTGCGTATTTCCACATGGTTTTGGTTTACTGGAGAATGCCTTGCCCATCCTCTCTTCCCGGGCTCTGTCTGCTTACATTTCCCAGGATTCTCACCTCCTAGCCCTGCCTATACTTCCTGCCTGGCCAATCAGCCAATCAGTGTTTTATCCATTAACCAATAAGAAAAACATATGTACAGAAGGATATACTGCATCAGTGATGTCACAAAGAGCTAAGGGTTTTAGAATCCAGAAACACAATATTTTGATAGTTTATTTGGCTTAAATTATGATACACAAATATTTTTAAGTTATTTTTTTATATATTTAGGAGTTTACTATATAGTTACATGTGTACATATTTATAACTGTAAAAGGAGTCCTTAATTGGTCTAGATAATAAAAGGCTGGAGTCAGATAATAGAGGGAAATGCTGAGAGATCAGAGAGAAGGAGCAAGGCTCAGCACATCTTACCTCCATAGTGTGTCTCCATAGTGAAGAGAGTGATTTCCTGTTTGTCCCTGCTTATATCCTGTTACTGCCCAGCTACGTCACTTCCTGCCTGTCTGTACAGACCTCTATGGTTAATTAGTAGCAGTTTCTGCCCAGCTATGTCACTTCCTGTCTGTCTGTACAGATCTCCAGACCTCCATGGTTAGCTAGTGGCAAGCTCCATTCTCTGACCCCCCAGACAGGCTTTACTTTTTGCAAAAAAGATATCATTACATATAGCAGCAATTTTAAAAAAGAAAGTCACTGACTTGATAGGGAATAACATAGGTACATGAGAGAGGTTAGAGGGATGAAAGGGAAGGGAAGAAATGATAGAATTGTATTAATCTCAAAAAGTAAAAGCATAATAAAAATACATTATTTATATTCTTCAAGGCTACTACTAAAGATATTTTGATTTTAGTTTTTTAAAGAAGAATTGCTATGGTTGGATAGTGGAAATCTTTGGATTGCAATATAACAAATTATCTAATCTTTAAATGGTATTTATATTTTTTCAAAATTTTGTACATTTTATGTAATATATTTTGTCATATACATCCATTACTTCCTGGTAACTTCCCTAGTAATCACCATATTGCCTTCTAAACTTATGACCTATGTTTTCACTGTACATTTTGGTATTAACACGGGATTTGAGTTACAATTGCCTGTGTGGGGATGAATATGAGAGCATCTAGTGGAAGGAGCACACCCTACCATTGGATGTGATGTGTTCCTAAAGAGTTGAGACCTTTCTGAAACAGCCGTCGATTGTCAGGCCACGGGTGAGGCCTTAAGCGTCTCTCCCCCATCCAGACTGGAGATTTGAGGGCCGTGTGCAGGTAGCCTCAGCTGTTACAAGTTGACAGAAGAGCCATGTTGTGTCCAAAAGAAAACATTTAATAGCTTGTTGAAGTTATCTTTAAAATGTGATTCTGAGGCTGGAGAAATGGCTCAGGAGTTAAGAGTGCTTGCTGCTTTTGCAGAGGACCTGAGTGAGTTCTAAGCAACCTCACCAACTTGTAACTTGAGCTCTAGGGGACCTGACACCTCCTGGCTTTGTGGGCACCAGTATACATGTGGTGCTCAGAGACTGCACACACACGCTAGTGAGCACAAACCTTAATGGAAAAAGACAAGACTAGCTGTGTTTAAACCAGACTATTGTGGGCCAGAAAATAACCTGAATGTGTCCTAAATTATATGTACTTCATTTACTTTCTCCCCAAACTTTTCAAATGAACAGTTTAAATAGGAGTGTGCTTATTAAGTTCTTCAGAGGCTCCTATTTCTAAACTTGGCTGACCTGATTTTTCTAGACAGTGGTGCTAGGAAGAGAAGTGTCCAGGTGAGAAGTCACTTTTGTAATTGGTTCGTACACACCATGGCAGCCTCTTTGGAAACTGCAGTAGGAAGTCCATTTCATCTGCCCAAGGTTACACATGTCGCTCTATCCAAATAACATATACTACCTGGGTGATCAAACCAGTGATTAAAAAGGCACTTGACTTTATACTTTATACTTTTAGAATGAGGATACATTTAATGTATTTCCTATGAGAATGGGTTGGCCAGAGGTAAAATGATATTGATAATCCGGGTAGGCTTTTGTTTGTTTGTTTGTTAGGATTTCTCTCTGTAGGCCTGTTTGTCCTGAACTCACTCTGTAGACCAGGCTGGTCTTTGAATTCAGAGATCCCACCTGCCTCAGCCTCCTGAGTGCTGGGATTGAAGGTGTGTGCAGCCATTGCTTCCACCACCACCACCCCACATATGTTTTAGCGGTCATAAAGATTTGGAGTGGTGTAGACTGGAGTAGTGGGGAGCAGACTGAGGGGTCCAGCATCCGTGTATGTATGGCTTACATCCATGTCATTGCTAACATGCATTCATTTGTAGTAACCACAAACACCTTCAGAGGCTCTGCCCTCTGGTGGTGTGTCAGGACTCTTACTTGAGAGCAAAACTGGGCCTTGCCATGAGGGAATTATCAGGACTCTTGAGGTACCCCCCCCTTTTTTTTTTTAATAAAATCTCCTTTGTGGAAGGTGCTATATTGCAATGAAGCATATTCTTTGAAAAATGAGATAAATTATAAAGGGGAGGAGAGATTGAGAAAATCACCCCAAGAACATGGGCAAGCCATGCTTTAAAGGAAAAGCTGATGGGGGGGGGCTATTTGCTGACTCTGGGAGACAAGTGAAGCTGGCACCCTAGGAGAGCAGTGTTCTGGGTGAGCTCGGCTGCTCTAGTACTGGTTATGAACACTTGAGAGGTGACAGTTGGCATGAGTCTCCATGCCGCTGCCCTCTTTCTCCCTCTTTGCTCACACATCACCTTGTTTTTGTGCTGTTGTGCTTTGTAGGAAGCAGTTTAGATAGCTTAGTGAAAATGATCTAAAATGTTCTTCATACTTCGCATTTATGTTCAGAAGTACTGACAGAAACCAGGTTGGCTGGCTTAAGATCTGTGAGTCTTGTGTTTTTTACTACAAGTTTCTTGGGAAGTGAGGATGTTGTTAAGACCTTAGGTGCTTTTGTGTAGGCCACACTACCCCTGGAATTCCACATTTTCCTGCCTCAGTCTTCCAAGTACTTCCTTTATAGGCCTCATCAACCAGCCAAAATGACATCACCACCACCACCCCACCCCCAGAAACCCTTACCATTGGATTTTGTTTTTGTTGCTGCTCCTCTTCTGAAGTTAGAGCTGACAGTCCTTCAGTGTGGTGCAGTCAGAAAGGCTTGGTTTCTTGGTGTGAGATGTGTCTGGATTTTGACTAGGAAAACTATTATTTCCACTTGTTTCCTTGCTAATATGCATGTTAAATGAAAAGTATTACTGTTCCACTAGAAAATATACACTTCACTTCCAAATGAGACTAAACAGAAGATTTCTTTGAAATTTAAATATGCATTTAAAGGTAGTAGCTGAAAATGCATATCAGATGTGGAACTCTTGATAAAGAGAAACATTATCAGATTACAGAGATTTTTATTAAAAGCCATGTAATAAACTTGTATTTATTATATCTTTATATTTTAGGAATAATTATCCTGGGACAGGGTTTTTCTGTGTTACTCGTGGGCTGGAGCAATCCCCGCCTCAGCCCTGAGTAGTTGGGACTGAAGGCATTCGGGAGCACGTGGAAACCCTTTTTATGATAGCCTGTTGCCACTGCTGGGCTCGGTTCCACATGTGTTTGTAATATTTCTTTTGAAGTACTCAGTGTTTTGTGATTCAATTGAACAAAGAATTTTTCTTTTTTTCTTTCTAGAACAATGCCGCAGAAGAGGTTGAAGAGGTAAAACATACATAAATACATAAAAGCAAACAAGCAGGGCCTCCTGCAGTCTTAGTCACTGACAATGGGCTTAGGGAAAGTTGCACATTAGAGTCAACCCCTTCCTCTTTTATTTTTAAGTCCAGTATTTAGAGTAATATTTATGCTTAGTGTGGACATTCTGTGAATGAGTAGGTCTTCTGTGGAATATATTAATATATTACTGTAGTCCACATGTCATGGAATGGCGCTGTGGGAGACTGCGCAGACACTCTCTGGCAACTCAGTTGAACAGCTTCTCAAAGGCTTTGCATGCTCGCTGCTTAAGCTGCTTTTTTCTTCCCCTTAGTGATTACAGTAGTTTTATTGGAAAGACGAACAATTGCCCTTAAAAATACCAAAAGCACTGTGAGATACTCATCTTGACAGTGTGTATTGATTTGAAGTCCTAATAGAAAATATTTAGACAGTGGAAATTATCAAGAGATAATTAACCTTTCATTTTATGATAAATAGATGTGATTGGTTGCCATTTGTGTTCTTTTGCAGAACTCTGATAAGAAAAATGTTCAATTTGTATTTAAGCAAACAGTGAACGACATTTGCAATCAACTAAAAATTCATCTATCGAATTAGGTCTGAGAATTACTGTTACAGAGTGTTGCCGTATGTCTGTTGGCTCCCTTTTCAGGACTAGGGTCTTTTATGGGGTACAGTGTGTTATATTTACTTACATAACTACTCTTGTCAATGGTTTTTGAAAAAAACCTCAACTTAAATATTTGAATAATCTTCATATTTTCATTTAACCTGTGACTTAATTTTTTTCCTGAGGAAAGTGTTGGTTTTTTAATTTTTTTCTTAATGTAAAAAAAAAAAAAGTATTTTTTTTAAAGTATCTTCAAACCGAATCTTTTATGCACCAAAGTTGGTTTTGAAAAGGAAAATAAAATCACATTCTTGCTTGGCACGCAAGAAGCCATATGGAATTTTTTTAACTTTACAGAAATGGAAATATGTGTAATTTGTCAGTACTGTATCAAACAAATGTCGAATAGAGATAATAGAGCGTTGCTTGTAAATAATTCAGCAGATTTGTAATATATTTTTCTATTATGAAATGTACTGTAGATGTTTTCTAGAGGCATGAAAGTCAATGTATATATTATGGTAGAACTAATATTGACGGGAATTGTAACTCACTAGTGCTGCCAGAGGGATTGCTAACAAAGCACCTTTAACCAGAGATGTCTTTGCGGACTGAAGGGATTGTGTACTACTGTTAATGTCTAAGAACAAAGCATTGGACATCCTTCCAGAAAGTCTCTGAGGGAGGACTTAGCCCCAAGACCTCTGACCGTGACTAAGGTGGCCGCTCCTCACTGTGGGGGCACATAGTAAAGCCGTGCTGCGCAGTCAGACTGCACGCAGTCAGACTGCAGAGAGAAAACACTCCTACAAGGACAGGAAAACCAGCAGTTTTTACACTCAATTTTTTAAAGAAAGGTAGATAAAATTAAACCTTTGGTTCCAAAATGGGAAAGCTTCCATGATGCATAGATCATTACTCATTTGCTTAAAAAAGAAAAACCACACACACAAAAGTTAGAGTATTGAGGCTTGAACAGGGCAGGGGGTAAAGAGGTAGAGATGGAATGAACGCATCATCGACGCTGAGGGACGAAGGCAAAGCCCTGCCTGCCTGAGAGGACCTTCTGGAACGGTCGTCTGCTGTGCTCTGTAGCAAACGGGAGTCTATTTTCAAAGAAGAAAAGCAGTGTGTTCTTACTATGATTTTATCTTTTGCTTAAGCACTTCATCGTTTGTTCCATTCTGTATCTGCCAAGTACCCCACAATCTCCTTTGTTCCTTTTTGAATTTTGGTTTGTTATAACATTGCCAAATAGAAGTGTTTCAGACATAGAGTTTGTACCTGTATTTTTATTTTACTGTCTCATGTTCTTGTAAGTCATTCTTAATTGACCGATGATTGTAGACTTTGCTTGAGTATTTTTTCTAATAAAACAAAGCAAATCACATTTAGCTTCAAATTGTAACAATTCAATTTAATTTTAAGATGACATCTGGAAATACACAGCCAACATTTTCTTTAGGTTTACAGAGAACAAATTAATCACCATCAATGTACAGAAAAATGTAGGTGTCGAAACCATTATTCACAGTCCCTTTACTTCTGATGTGAGTTGGGTTTGACGCTATTACTAGCACACCAAAAAGAATATGAAGTAAAGCAAGCTAGTTTTATAGCTTGTGTGTATACATAGTTACGCACAGTCTGTAATGTTCATCAAAGTTTTCTTACGCAGCTCTGCTCTTGCTGTGGCCACATAGGACATGTTTTGTAGTGGGCCTAGGATAATGTTTCTTTTTCCAGCACCGGACAGTCTGCAGCCCACAGACACATTTATTCATTTTCATACCTGCTGCTTGATTGCCCCCTGCAGTGGCATACTGGAATAAATAGTGAGACCTTTGGGGCTTGCAAGCCTGAGGTATTTATTATCTGCTTTATAAAAAGAAGCTTGTTTTTCCCCTGTATAGCTGACAAAAATGTTGGAGCAGTAAACATAGGCCACACAGTTTGCACTTAATAGGGCAGTTGACATTGGTTGTGCACAGTGCTGAGTTCCCGAGGTCTTCACACACTTTGCAGCAGGTGCCCCCATAGGCTCCTGAGCACATGGTATTTGGGTGGAACTTTCCTGTTGATTTTTTAATCTTATCAAGGACCCACCATTTTGCCAAGTGTGTTTTGTCTTACAGGGATTAAATGAGAATCTGTAAGTCAGATTCTGTGTTTCAACCACAAGTAACACTGGTTTTAGCTGAAAGAATCTTGAAATATTGTAAAATTTTAAAGATTTTTTATTTTTCTAGTAAACCTTTTCATACACTAATGTGGCTACACATTAACTCTGAATTCCAGATGAAAGGAAAATAAAATGAACAAAATAATTAACCCTCCATTGTTTTCAAATGTGTCTTAACTCCTCCTTAACGATAGAGATCTGGGTGCACTGGCTAAGCCTGCCACTGGGAGGACAAAGCAGGAGGATTACCAGGAGTTCAAGGCTGGAGTGGGACCCTGAGTCAGAACAAACAAAAAAGGAAAGAAGAAATGTTTTTCTCTGTGTCATACATACTAGGAAAGTAGGGAACATTGAAGGTGTCTTCACAGTAAAGGTGCTTGGTGACAGGCCTAATGGCCTGAGTTCCATCCCTGGGATCCATGTGGTGAGAGGAGAGAACTGACTCTGAAATTGCCCTGCCCCCTCCAAGTAAATAGACACATTAATAACATTTTAAAATATACAAATAGTCTCAGAAAGGTAGAATTCACCAGAGTTTAAAACATGTTCTGTTTCCTTTTTGCAGTGTTTTCTTGATGGTTGGTTAACAAAAGATGAGATAACGTTCAATGTTGAGTGAGTATCAGAATGGGTAAATGCAGTTGAAGTAGTTTAAATATTCTTGAGTGGCTATGTAGTCAGTCACAGCTTTAAGTTTTTAATTTTTTATAACAGCCTTGTGTAAATTCTAAAGGTAAACCAAATTTTAGCCTATGTAGATTTGTAATGCAAAGCCTGACATGTTGATTTGTCTAATGAGGCCTCAGGTTACAGAAATACATATATATAATATATATATATATATTATATATATGTATGTATATATATATATATAGAGAGAGAGAGAGAGAGAGAGAGAAAATTTATTTATAAAGAATAATTAAAACCATGTATTATTTGGAAGGGATTTTTTTTTTAGAGCAGTGGTACTTGTGGGTTTTAATTTAAGATATTTTTCTATTTCATAAAAGGATTGAAAAATTGTGCAAAATATTTTTTCTTAATTATTGAATCTTGTGACCTGGTGTAAGGCATTTTGCAATTCTAACATTGCAGCTTTAATATATTTACCATTTGCAGAGTTTTTCTTTGTAATAAAAAAAGGTGAGAAAATTTTGTAATTTTTCTAGTGTTTCCTTTTGAGCCTCAACAGCCTTAAAATACAAGAATGAAATGTTGTATTCTGATTTTTTTAATTGTTAAAATTTAAAAACAAAACTTACCTAGCCTGATCTCTTTCCCAAGTTGAGTTTGTACAGTATCACATGGCTTTGTTAATTTGAAAAACAAAACAAAAAAAATGTAAGCAATTTAGAGAAGGAATTTTTTTCTAGGTCAGTATTCTTTCCATTATAGCAAATTGCTTCACACAGAGGGAGCAAGATGATGATAAATGTGTGTTTAATGTCACTATGAAGTTGTTCTCAGTGTTTGTCCCACACAGTCTGTGACAGGATTATACTCAACACAAAGTAATTGGAGTGTTTGTCATTTAATGAGTTGTAAAGAGGAAACCTTGTTGTAGTAAGGTACTGTGGAGAACTACAGGGCAGAAGATGCTCTAGGGCTGAGATTAGGGGTGGTGTCCTTTTACATACAGATTTAATAAAGGGACCTGTGCTTGGATACCTAAACATCCTCAATGTGACGGATTATTGATGTTATGTTTCATAAACTCAGTTGTAATGTAATTATTCTGATTTATTTGCTCTCGTTAAAAAACAAAAAACAAAACAAAACAAAAAACTTGTTTTTGGCAGAACCCTTTAAGAGTAGTAAGACCTTGATGAAATTGCTGTGACTGGCGCTTCCAGTGACCCTGTTCTGAGGACCTGCCTGGCCTGTTGTTTCTCTGACTATTGTCCTGGCTGCAGAGCCTCGCTGTCCTCTGTTGCAATGTTCTTTTCTTTATTGTTTACATTCTTTGGCTGAAGAAATTTGTCTTTAAAATTTTACAACTTTATAATGATTTCTGTTTCTTGTAAAGAAAAATTTCACAAATTTATATTTGGATGCCTGTGGTTCTTGTGTGTGCTTAAGATGATTACATTTGGGGGGTCTTAAAGAATCAAATTTTGCATAATTTATATAGCTAGGGAATGCTAATAGAATAGAAAACACGAGGGCTTATGCTCTTGGTGTGTGTACACTGGAGTAGAACCAGTGTCTTATCGTGGCTAGGTAAGCTGTCTCCCAGTGAGTTACCTCTAGCCCTGAGCCTTCTCTTGGTTGCTGGGCCCGGTGCAGATAGTTTAGCTGGGAACACCATTGGATGTTGTGCAGTGTGGATCCTCTTGGGTTTTTCTACAAACACTGGGAAGCCTCATTGACCATTGGTGCAAGCATGGTGGACACCAGCTCATAGATGTTAGCATGTCTCAGTTGTCTGTCTGGCAGCGTATGCCCTCTCCTAGGTCATCTCAGTGACCTGACTTCTGAATGAAACAATATGATTAAAATTGCAATTAAGGAGGTATACACACACTTAACTCTCTGAACAGAGTTTAACAAACAAAACAGTGCATTCAAAAAAAATAAATCAAAAATGCTGAAAACATGAGAATACTAAAGAGATGGCTGGAGGGTGGGGCAGTGGTTAAGTGTAATGCTTTTGCAGGAGACCTGAGTCCAGTTCCCAGTGCCTGTTACGGTTGCTCATAGCCACCTGTGACTACAGCTGCACAGGATCCAGCATTCCCTGGACTCTTGAACTTAACTCACACAAATACACATACATTAAACACACACACATGCTGTTGCTCATCATTAGTAAAAACTAACCTGTAACCAGTGTGAAAGCTACAAGTAGAACTGAAAGAATAGTATTAGAAACCAACCTTGTCTTTAAGAAAAGGAAACAAAACTGTCTTGTTTAATATGCAGAGACACAGGTTCATTGTGACACTTTGCTCTTTCATATGCCTTCCATTTGCCTTTCCTCCCCCACATTCCCTGCCTTCTGCTTTCATGACTTAGGTCTCATTTCCTTTCCAAATTGTAGATAGGAGCTCTTTCAAAAAATGTTCTAAACATGAATGCTATTTTTTGTCACTCAAGTGTAATTACCAAATTGAGAAAAGTTGACAATAGAGAAAACTGGACTTTGTAAATTTTCCCTCTGAACCATTTGTAGTTGAAGTAGGTATTTGGAGTATTAAGAGCAGCTGACAGAAGGGGTATGAATTGGGTGACTTGTTTGGCTAATCTCATGACAGTCGTTTTGCATTGCTGGAGCCTGGGGCTCTGTACATTTGAGGCTGCTGCTGCTACTACTACTACTACTACTACTGAGTTAGAAGCAGCGGTTGAGTTGTTCGAACCCTTGCCTGTGGCTGTAATAGCACTCTGGCTTGTCGGATTTTAGGTTCTGTGAGATTTGGGATGGATTTCCCTACACTCCAACATGGAAGGTACTAGGACAAGTCATTCTTAGAAAGAAACTTGTTGAGTTAGCAATACTATGAAGTGATGTCTAGAGTTCACAGAATTAAAACTATATTTTGCAGGTTTTAGAAATATATTTCAGCTGGGTGGTGGGGACAGAGGCAAGAAGTGATCTCTGAGTTGAAGGCCAGCCTGGTCTACAGAGTGAGTTCCAGGACCACTATGGTGGTTACACAGAGGGAATCTCTCTCTCTCTCTCCCTCTCTCTGTCACTCTCTGTGTGTCTCTGTCTCTGTCTCTCTGTGTGTGTTATATAGAGAAACCCTTTCTCGAAAAACCTTTCAGTCATGGTTTAGTAATGAGTTCCCTGCCTCTTACCCTCCTCTCCCATACTGGGAATTGAATTTGGCCCAGCACACCATTGAACTTTATTCCCAGTGTATCCCCCACACCCTCATTGAGATACCCTATGTTAGTCTAGGCTGACCTTGAATTTAGGTCTTTTTTGCCTTAGCCTCCTGAATGCTGGGATAAAAGGTATGTTGCCACTTACCTGGCTCCAATAACTTGGTCTTTAGACACGTGGATGGGAGTTGGCGGTCAGTGTGCAAACGAGTGTGGTAGAGCGTCATAGGATACAAATGCTGTAAAGAAATGGGGCTGGGGCTGAGTGAATTTGTGGTGTGATTTTTAAACAGTTGGTAATTTCTTGTGAGCAAAGCCATAAAGGAGAATTTATGCAGACATCTAAGAGAAAAGCATTACCAGCACAGAGCATAGCAAGTATAA